CGAAAGAGGAGACGCACCTCCGTAACCATCTCAAATGGGCGAGAATCAAAATTAATGGTGATGGCTCTTGCGTGCCGAAGGAGTGACGATTGATGATAGCTCTTTCCAATACACGATGCAATTATGGACTGAAGCTCCAGTGAGAGTGGCTGCCGGAGAAGATGGAATTCAAATCCAGCCTCAGATGGTTTTTACCCAGCAGTCAACCAGTCGCGGACCAGAGGTTTTGGTAGAGAACTCTGTTTTAGTAAGAGAGGGGACAGATAAAGCTGCCCAGCCACGTGCTAGGGCTGAGACACGTGGGGTAGCTGCCAAAATCCCAGATCCAAATTTGGGCTTAAAAATATTGTGCAATACAGACCTAGGCCCAAAACCTAATGTGGGTCTTTTAATTAATGGCCTTTCTAGCCCAATTAATTCAGCAAAGCAAAAAGAAGTGGCACATGATGAGCATGTGGGGATTAATGAAGGGCTAAGTGGACTTAAAACATTGGCTATGCAATTCTTAAAAGCCTACGATGTCTGGGAAATTTCTTTGATGGAAAAAAGCAGTGAACCCAACGCAAAGAACACTCAGGGAGAAGTCGCAGATATGCATCTAAAAGAAACTGAGCAAGTCAGGTCAGATGAAAGCGAGGGTAAGCAATCACATGAAAAAGGAGAGAGTTCGAAGGGATGGGAAAGTAACAGTGATGAACACAACATGCAAATACAACAAATTCTTGATGTTGAGCCAGTAACATCGAATATGCCTTGGAACCACAATGAAGAGGAGATTAGGGCATCCAACTGGGTTAACCAGCATATCCTGGAACTAAGTGCCACTTATGGAGTGGCTTTTGAAGGCTTCAGAGAAGAAACCTTTGCATTACTGAAGAGGTTGGATGAAAGAAAAACTGGTATGGAAATCAAGAAGGTAGGAAGTACATCTGCAACACCCAGACCTCGAGGAATTGGAAAATATGAATTGAAAAACTTGCAGTCCAGTTTAAACCAGCAGGTGGAGGGTTCCAGAACCAAAGGGAGAGTCCTTAGCTTAGCCTTTAAATGAAGGTAAAAATTACTTTCATGGAATGTAAGGGGGATTAACAATAGTTCTACTAGAAATATTGTTAAGAGTGCTTTGCTGAAGTGGAAAGCAGATGTTTATTGCCTTCAAGAAACAAAGATAAGTCGGGAGGTAGAGAGTATTGCCAAACAACTATGGGCTAGCAGATGGATGAGGTGTGGTTACTTAGAAGCTGATGGTAGTAAAGGGGGAATCCTAATCATGTGGGATTGTAGAATATGGAAAGGAAGCTTAGTAGAGACGGGGCAATTCTCAATCACCTATAGATTTGATGCAGTCCAAACTACTTTTAGTTGGTATCTCACTGGTGTATATGCCCCTCAGAGTAGGAATGAGAAATTGGAGTGTTGGGAAGAGGTGGCAGCAGTCAAAGAATTGTGTGAAGGTCCATGGGTCACATGTGGAGACTTTAACACGGTTAGAGTCATGGCAGAACGAAGAGGATGCAATAGGATCACAAATGTGATGAAAGATTTTGCCAAATGGATTGAGGACATGGAATTACATGATCCTCAACTAATTGGTGGGAACTTTACATGGTTCAGAGGGGAAAACCATAACAGTGCAGCTAGGTTAGACAGATTCTTATATTCAATGGAATGGAAAGAGACCTTCAAAAATATAAGGCAGACGATAATGCCTAGAGTGACATCTGACCATAGCCCTATTATGCTATGCTGTGGGGACTGGGGTCAGAATAAGTCCTATTTCAAGTTCGAGAATTGGTGGCTCAAAGTGGATGGTTTTGAGGGGCTTGTGCATAGTTGGTGGAGTGAGTTTGTAGAGGAAGGTTTCCCTGATTACAAGCTCAGTATGAAACTGAAGTTGTTGAAACATAAACTCAGAGAATGGAGTAAGCAAGTGGGTGGGGACCTAGGCACTAAGAAAAACAAGTTGTTATCTGAATTAACTGATATTGATCTGGCACAAGATTCAAGACAGCTGACAGAGGATGAGCTAATGGTGAGGACTACAATTTTGGTAGAATTGGAAGAACTAGCAAAAATTGAGGAGTCTAGGTGGAGACAGAAATCCAGGATTTTATGGCTGAAACAGGGAGACAACAATACTAGGTTTTTCCAGAGGATGGCTACTGCTCACAAAAGATATAATAATATTGACAGACTGATAATCAGAGGAGAGGAGGTCAAAGAGCCAGAAGTCATTAAGGTGAATATGATTGAGTTTTATAAAAAACTCTATACTGAAACAGAGTTATGGAGGCCCTCTTTCGAGTATGTAAACTGCCCTAGAATCTCCCAAGAGGAACAAGACTGGTTGCAAAGGCCTTTCAGCGAAGATGAAGTGTTAAATATAATCAAACAATGTGATGGTGACAAGGCACCTGGACCTGATGGATTCACCATGAGTTTCTTCAAAGTGTGTTGGGAGACTTTGAAGGAGGACTTGATGCAGACAATCCACAATTTCCACCAGAAGGAAACGTTTGAGAAATCATTCAATGCCACTTTTGTAGCTTTAATTCCTAAAAAGCATGGAGCAGAAGAGTTGAAGGATTTCAGACCAATAAGTTTGATTGGTGGAGTATACAAAATCATAACCAAGCTTCTCACAGAGAGAATGAAGAAGGTCATGGGGGTTTTGGTAGATGAGCACCAAATGGCTTTTCTTAAAGGAAGGCAGATAATGGATGCATCATTGCTAGCAAATGAACTAGTGGACAGTAGGGTGAAGCAGAATCTACCAGGAGTCTTATGCAAACTGGACATTGAGAAGGCCTACGACCATGTAAATTGGTCCTTCCTTTCAAAGATTCTGAGAGATATGGACTTCAGAAACAAATGGATCAACTGGATTAAGGTCTGTATATCTACTGTGAAGTTCTCCCTTATCATTAATGGCAATCCTGAAGGGTTTTTACAGTCACAAAGAGGTTTGAGACAAGGTGACCCCATGTCACCATTCCTATTTATCTTAGCTATGGAGGGTCTCAACTCCATGATCAGGAAAGCAAGTGAAAATGGGTGGTTGCAAGGTTTCAGTGCAAATGCAAATAGGGGAGATTGCTTTATGCAGATGACTCCTTGGTCTTCTGTGGAGCTGAAGTTAATCATATAAGACACTTGAGGGCCATCTTAACCATCTTTGAGGGAATATCAGGACTACATGTCAATTGGCATAAAAGTTGTTTATACCCAGTTAATCAGGTTGCTAATATGCAGGTGCTAGCTGAGAACCTAGGATGTCAGGTGGCCTCCCTCCCAACAAAGTACCTTGGAATGCCCCTTGGTGCTAAGAACAAAGAGGTGGAAGTTTGGAATGAAGTACTGGAAAGATGTGAGAAGAAGCTGTCAAGGTGGAAAAGCCAGTATCTATCCTTGGGAGGCAGAATAACTCTTATCAAATCTGTGATGGATGCACTTCCTACTTATATGATGAGCCTATTCCCAATACCAAGAAGTATAGAGAAGAAAATCAACAAATCAAGAAGAGTCTTCCTGTGGCAAGGAAATAAAGAGAAGCTTGGGTATAATCTGGTTAAATGGGATGTAGTGACACTCAACAAAATGCAGGGTGGTTTGG